CTTAGGAGCATTAATGCAGGATTAAACAGTTTCAGCAGAGAGTTGTTTATATTCTCTTGCTGAAATGGATGTGTGGCCCTGGCCCATAATATTTATTTATACATGCATTCCTTTTCACTTAATTGTAATTAACATGCTGTTTATTGCATTCCTTTTACCTTTCCTTAAGAATTTGCTTTTTCCTTCAATTGTTTGCATTGATATCTTTTGAATTTCCTCCCTCTTATTTATTTTTTGGCATAAATAATAATTGGTGCTACAGTGAGAACTTGATAAAGCTTTTTATTATGTTCCCTTTTGTCCAACAGCAACCTGAGGCATAAAAAAAAAAAGTCTGAACAGTTTGTCCAGAGTCACACAACAGAACAGAAACAAAGTTTTAATAGGAGTTTGTGCTCTTAGTTCTCTATGTATTTTTTTTTTTTTTTTATTGAAGGTTCAGGTATCCTCATATTTCTGTTGATTTTTTTTTCCTCTAAATCCTTTCCTTTTTTTTCTGTATCTTAATTTGAATTTTCTCTTAAATTATTTATTTGTTTTGTTTTGTTTTTAAAATGTCTTTTTTATTCTGTCCTCACTTCTTATCATTTATGAGAACTGTAGAACAAATTCTCATTTTCTCACTTCAATAAAGAATAATTTTCTTCTCCAGATCATTAGTAAGTATTGCTAGTAAAAACTTAATATCTGAATATATGTAACGATCTTCTCTGGATGGTTCAATAAATGTATTAAAAATTTTTATAATTTTTTTAGGGGGAAACCCAGGTGATTCTCACTTTTACCAAATACCAAAATAAATTACAAATAGATTGAACATTAACTTTTTAAAAACCTTAACTTCCAGGAAAAGTTGAGGTAAGAAACCACATAAGGAAAGATTAATATGTTTCACTGAGTATAAATATAACTGTTTCAAAATCCTTAGTATTTTAAGGCAACAATAAACTGTACATTTATAACATATGTTTGAAAAATAACTACTAACTTATCTATCATAGTAATGAGTAATAAATATATTGTCATAATGTAAACATTAAGAAAAAACATGAACATACCATTCTCAAATATAAGGATTGATAAACGAAGGAAGTTATGTGAAAATGTAGTTCTAACTAAAGAAAGAAAAAAGTAAAATAATAAACCACTATCATTATTACCTATAAAATAGCAAAATTTAAAAATCAGTTTAAATGCTAGTGAAGTTTATGTGACTGAGTGATTTTAACTCCTTTTTTAAAACTTCTGAATTATACAAATTTGCTACAATAAACATGTTTTTGTAACAAAAAAATAACATTTTAAAATCCATATGCTTAATCCTTTCAAGCACAAGACATGACTAAGTTTTCAAACTTTACGTTGATTTTACTGACACAATTTCCTAATTCCACCACATTTCAATAAAACTAAATATTGTTTGCTCCTTAAATATAAGAATTGACAAAAGCGGAGATTTCTGCAAGGTAATGGCATCCTATGGTAATATTTGACAGCCAGGATAGGGAAGGACTTACCGGGCCAAGGGCTGCTCTATGGAAATGTTCTCGGTAAGGGCAACAACCTGTGCAAGCTTAACTTCCTAACTGAACTTTGCGATATCATCTGAGGTGTTAGAGTGAAGTGCTTTGGAATTGTTTAGCGTTCGAAGGAAATGGACTTGCCATAATAAAGGAAAATTTTAAGATAAATAGGCAATCAAGAAGGACATATTTTATTTTATTTTTAGTGACAAAGGTTCTATCCATTGATTTTTAAATGTTAACGTTAATCTCAGAGTAAACAATTTTCAAGTTTCTGTGAAGAGCTCTTAAAATAGATCCTTTAGAGAAGCAGAAGGTGGGAGTTAGGTAGGACCTTATTCATTATTAGTGACCCGGTGCATGAAATTTGTGCACATTAAAAGGTAATCAATTAGAGGAAATAATTTAATATTGCTATTTACCCTTTCTCTATAATAGAAGTGTCAGAGATGAAAGAAAATTAGTAAAATGTATATGAAAACCTTCCTCCTGTCAAAGTCAGGGGTGCACCACGGGACCCAGAATTAAGTCCCCACCTACCCACATGCACTTCAATATCACGTGAGACCCACACCCAACTGCCCTTCCCCCACCCCCTTCACCCTCACATTGGGGCTAGATCCAGACCTGGCCAGTCCCACCTTTGTCAAGCCCTGCTGGGCAGGGGGCATAGCCTCAGGTCCCCTGGCCTAGTGGATGGGGGGTGTGGCCTGAGGTCCCCCAGTCCTGAACAGGGTAGGGGGTGTGCCTTGAGGTCCTCCGTCAAGCCATTCCAGGTGGGAAATAGGGTTTCTGAGATTCCCTGTCAAGCCTCGCTGGGTGGGGACACGGCCTGAGGTCCCTTGTTAAGCTCAGCCAGGCAGAGGGGTGCAGCCTCAGGTCCCCTGGCCTAGGGTCCCCTGTCAAGCCCCATGGGGGTGGGGAAGGGTGTAGCCTCAGGTCCCTGCTGATTGCTTGTTAAGGCTCTTTATGGGAACTTGGCCTCAGCTGTGGGTGCAGCCATCTTTGTGGTGGAGAGATGGTCAATTAGCATATTCCCTCTTTATTAGATAGGATTGCTTAAATTTAATGATAGATATAGCTTTTTATAAGCCATTTACTTACACTATCTGGTTACTCCTTGTAATAATCTTCTGAAGTACATACACTTAATTACATGTTTTACAAAAGAGAGGAGCCTTCGGTTGATCTATTATCTCCCCCAGATCTCCCTACCCTACCTGCTGTAATTTAACAGTCTACTTGTTGCTTTACTGTCTCTAAATCTATCTTTTGGTTCATCAGTTTATAATGTTCTTTATTATCCATAAATGAGTGATCAACCAAAGGGCTTGTATACATGCATATAAGTACAACCAAGGGACACAAAACTCTGGGGGGGGGGGTATTTATGAGAGGGGGGGGGCAATTTTAAATTATGTACACAGATAATAAATGAATAAAAAAATGGGGGGGGAGGAGCCTGACCAGATTGGCTCAGTTGGCTGAGCATAGTCCTGTGCACTGAAAGGTTGCCGGTTCAATTCCCAGCCAGGCACCTACCTGGGTTACAGGTTCAATCCTGGGTCAGGATGCATAAGGAGAGGAACCAACCTCCTCTCTCTTCTCTCTCTCTCTCTCTCTCTCTCTCTCTCTCTCTCTCTCTCTCTCTCTCTCAGCATGTCCTTGAATGAGGATAAAAATAAAAGAGGAGGAAATTGAGATGCAACGAGGCTACATAGCCCGACCAAAGATGCACCACAGCGCCATGGGAGAGACAGGGTTTGGGCCCAGATGAATATCACTGCAAACATTGAGTTCTTACCCCTGAATGCTGTGTTGCCTCCACATTATAACACAGTCAATCTTGACCTTCCTTCCAACAACAGACTTCAACTCTACGGAGGGAACTCTAAAGTCTAACATCACCTGCCCACCATACCCTTGCTTTTGGGTGACAAAGCAGACACAACTGGGGTTTTAAATTCTAAGTTGGGTTGAACCTTTGTTTCACTATTGTGTTCCCACATTAGTCCTGTCTTCACCTGTGAAATGGATGCAAGTATTCCCTCAGAAAGCTGCTGCAAAAGTGCTTTGAGCAGGTGCTTGGCAAATAGTGGGTGTTTAATAAATATTCGTTTCCTTTCTTCTCTTGCCAGAGAAAAGTCATTCTTCCTTTAATAAGTTATTTGCATGGAAATGCTTTCATGGCTCTCAGTTTATCACAGAAGCCTTAGAAAATTTACTCACTAGGTCTGTCTTTTTTTCCCTGTGTGAGATTATTTTATTAAAAAACTCAAAGGAGGCACAGTGTGGAGCACTGTTTGTTCACCCAGAGGCGTGGCTCTGCAGGCATACATTCTCCCACGTGGTCACATGACCCCTCATCCCTGGGTTTGCTCAGATGCTGGCTGTGGCTCCATCAGAAAAGGCAAGGCTCAGGCCAGGAGCTGGAGAGGGAACCTGGGACCTCAGAGGCTTCTCATCCCAGGTTTGGGCTGGTTTGCTGTGGGAAGCCAAATCAGAAGTTGGTGTTCGCTGATGTTCTGAATGCTCTCCTTTTGAGATTTGAGCAGACGTTTTCTGGTCTTAAAATTTCCATGATTCTTGCTTCTCTCCTCTCTCCTACATAGCTGTGTCCTCCAATTCCCAAAACTGCTTATATGCTATTTCTCAAAGATTGCTTATCATTTCCTGTTCCCACACTTTTTCTCCTGTCAGACTCTATCTGAAATAACCCTTGACCCCAAATGTACCCATTGAACTTTTACTTTTGAGGCCCAACTCTAGTTTACCTTCTGCTAAACCACTGGGATGCTGAATGTCATTCAGGTGTCAGATTGCAGGTACTTTTGTCTTTTAGAACTGAAAATTGACTGAATAGAATAATGGTTTAAAGTGGTGTATGCTTAACAATTCCTTACTAAAGTACCTATGAAACCAGCAGAAGCCAAATTTTCACAAGTACACTGAAAACTATTATCAGAATCAAGAAGGAATTCCTGCCAATTTAAAGGCCAGAAAAAACTTGATTGAGACAATTTAAAAACTGCTTTTCCACTAAAAATTGATTAAAATTCTCAACCTGAACGTAGAACCATTCTTTGTCCCTCTTCATCTGTTGACCTTTTACCCAGATATACAGGAGCCATGTCACTCACCACCACCAACACACATACACATTTTTATACCACACACACACACACACACACACACACACACACACACACACAGTAAAGGGGCAAACACCTTTCTAACAGGGAGATGATGTTTTGGGGGTATCCAGAATGTTGTCCCATAATCCCAGTGCAATGATCCAAAGGAGTTAAAAATAATAATAGTTGCTGTACACAACTATGATATCATAAGAGAAAAAGATACTTGGATATATATCAGTAAAGGTGCTTACCAAATTGTGTGTATGTCCAAAAGACAATTTTATGCCACCAAAATAATTTGTGTGGTGTTTAATCCTAATAACATTCTTCTCCAATGCAGAAGAGGGTCCAACGTATCTCTTACATTGGACATGAGCAGCTTGGGGAATGTGGAACCCTTTGTGGCTGTACCAACCCCACGGGAGAAGGCAGCAATGGAGTATCTACAGTCTGCCAGCCGAATTCTCACAAGATCACAGCTGAGGGACGTCGTGGCAAGTTCACATTTACTCCAAAGTGAATTCATGGTGAGCCAGTTATTATTTGCCCTTCGTTAGATATTCTGATAAATGAGCCACTAGAGGCACATACAAAGATGGCACGACCCTGCACTGGACAATAAAAATGGTTAAAGTTCAAAGTTTTAAATTTACCCCGTAGCTCATCAACTATTGATGTGTTCAAACTAGAATGTGATAACTCCCTTGAGGCAGACTATGGAGGAGACGGCCAGGCAAAGGAGTGGCGAGAGGAGGGGGCAGAGAGGAGCATTCCAGAAAGAGGGAACAGCCTTGCTGTCCTTGTTGGGGGAAGTCAGAGAAGATACCCCAGTTTTGTTACTTGAGCAACCAGGTGCTCTTTAATGAACTGTGGAAAACAAGAGAAGATCAAATGTGGTATAAAAATGATTGTGAGTTTCAGCTAAAAATTATGGTGACTTAGTGTTGCTGTGATAACTTAATTCATGAAGACACATTTCTATTCAGAGAACATGTATGTCTTCTTTGGCCTAATTGTTACCTAAGGGTAACACTAGTGGATCAGTTTGCATCTTACATCTTAAGCTATAACTATTGAGAATAATAAATTGATCATTCTCAGGTCATTTCAAATATTTCAACTACCCTCATGGTGAAAGATCCAGCAATGGGTTAGATCTACTATAAGCCTCGTCAATGATTATTAAGTGTTTAAAGTAAAACACAAACATGCAGGGGGTTTTTTAAGTAGACTTTGTAATGTAGACTTAGTGAAATAAAGCAACCAGTCAATGATCGCACAACTAGCCAAAGGTACTCCCATTATTCTTTTCTAGAATCGCAGAGTCTTTGTTCTATAAGATGAGCCCTTAACATAGCCTGCTTTCCTTAAAGGAAAAATGGGGCAACAAGGAAGACTGAGAAGAGAGATAATGCTGGGAGATGACAAACTAGTGAGTCAGAAAGCAGGAAGGAGTACAGGGGGAATAAAGATGTCACCAACTCTGTGGCTTTGCCAAAACAGACTGACCTCTTTGAAATGGCCAAACATGAATATATGGTTTCTACTGACTGTTTAATAATTTCACTTATTTTGGTAACTTGAACTGAGAATTTTAACCTTCAGTTGGAGTAGAGAGTAGGGATTAATATTATAACTACCTAGAATAATGCAAGTATAGGAGATATTTTAAAAATATGTTACTCCTTTTTGTAAAGCAAGTCTCAAATTCATAGCATAGTCAGGCTTTTCTCAAAATTTTAACTCAACTGAAAACTAGGACAATTTGAACTAATTTATAAATAATTTATTTTATTTCAATGACTAGTAGGCTTTTGAGTAAAGTTTAAATAACAAAAAAATTACTTTATATAATATAGAAATACTAGTTATTTTATTTCACATTAACCTTGTGTTAGCAATCCTTTGTGGAATTTTAAGTTAGAGAACAGAGTATTTTTTATTACCAAATGCTCGCATATTTGTTTTCACCCTTTTGAAAACAGGCTTACTGGTGTTTTTGCCAATCAGCTAAAGATGCTCATCTTTGGGGTTTAATTCATTTCCACAGAGCCACTTCTGCTCTCATTATTCTGACTCCCATTATCTAATACATATGAAATATATTCTTACTGAATAAAAATATTCTTAAGTGGGAGAAAACAGTGCCTGGATGCCCTTCACTAAGAATATTGCATTCGAAGCCACAATAGGAACAGTACAATTATAGACAGTTCTTTAATACAAAAAAAAAAAGAAAAGCATCATACCATCATCATTTGAATTAACACAAAAGCCCTTTATATTTGCCATTCAGGGAGGGAGGTTTTAATAGTCTTAAAAGAGTCACAATTAATGTCAAAAGAGAATTCATCAGAGAGAAATGTTGGGTCCTGAACAGAAAGATTTGAAAAAATGTTAATACATTGCTAAAATATCAGTTTTCAGCTTCCTATTTATATATTTTCAGCAACTATACAGAACAGGATTCTTAAAATCTAACCAAATTTTATGTTTTTCAAGTAACTACTTATCAAATAGAGCTTTCTAACGCAGAGAACTGTTTCGTAGAGTCAGCTTGCTAGGGTGCCGCTGATATGTTTATGGAAGGAAGGGTGTTGGTCCGCCAGAGGTGGTAGGCTGTTGTTTATAAAGGACTTTGAAGTCCAGGAGAGCTTTGGATCAGATGCCCCCTGTGAAGATTTTCTTTGTGGAAGCATTAGATGTACTAATTTGATATCATTCATTTTTGCAGGAAATACCAATGAACTTTGTGGATCCCAAAGAAATTGACATTCCACGTCATGGAACTAAAAATCGTTATAAGACCATTTTGCCAAGTACGTTCCTTGAATTAAACCCTTTGCATTTACCCATACCATACCACTTCCCATTGTCACAACTTCCACATACACACCAAATTTGGAATTGCAAACACTATCAAGTCTCATAATCTTTAAAATGGTCTAAGGTTAATAACTTTATCTTGTATTACTCTTATTATAGTAGGTAGGTCACAGTTCTAATGCATACATGGTTCTAAAATTGTATTGTGCCACACATTATAGTCGATTTTCATTGATGTTGTCTATCAATTCAATGGAGGAATATAGTATAGTCTTTTTAACAAATGGTGTTGAGAAAGCAGGATACTCACATGCAAAAAAAAAATTAATAAAATTGGACCCTGTCTCACCATATACACATTAACTCAAAATGGATCAGAGACCTGGAATAGTGCACCTGGAACCTGTATAATTTTATTAACAAGGTTAGCCAGTGTCACCCCAATAAATTCAATAATAATGAAAATGTAAAATTGATTGGTGTGATGGTTTCAAACTCTCTGAATAAAAATAAATAAATTCTGTGAAGGCACACTTTAAACAGGTGAATAGTAGGGTATGCGAATTATATCCCAATAAAACTATACCAAAAAAACTTCATCTTGCATAACAATTACCTAGAGTCCTAATTAAAAATCTAGAGTCCTGTGCCTCACTCTGGGGATTATGTGTAAATCGGTCTGCTGTTGGGCCCAGGAATCTGTATTTCTCATGAGCACTCAGGTGATTCTCATTCAGATGAGACCAGCACCACACTTTGAGTAATATTGCTATAGACTCTATTAAAACTAAATTTGGCTCCATGAAATTTATAGATGTCAAGATATAAGCTGGAAGGCCGGAGCTAGCAAGGAATAAGGAACAATTTGTAAGATAAAGGAGATCATGGACTAGAGAGGAGAGACATGTAAGAGTAATTGCATTCAATGTAGTAAGAGCCAGGATAGAGACCTAGCTCAAGTGATGTAGGGCTGTAGAGATGACTGAGAAATTAATTCTGATTGCAGTGGCAAAAATACTTTGGAGAGAAAGCAGCATTTTGAATCATTAAAGAAACAGATGTGGTTGGGGTTTTGATAAAATCCATAAACATCTCAAGACAATAGCTCTGGAAAGATAGAACCACAAGGATTTTTTAAATATGTTTTTATTGGTTTCACAGGAAAGGGAAGAGGGAGAGGGAGAGGGAGAGGGAGAGGGAGAGGAAGAGGGAGAGGGAGAAGGAGAGGGAGAGGGAGAGGGAGAGGGAGAGGGAGAGGGAGAGGGAGAGGGAGAGAGAGAGAGAGAGAGAGAGAGAGAGAGAGAGAGAGAGAGAGAGAGAGAAAGAGAGAGAGAGAGAGAGAAGCATCAGTGATGAAAGAGAATCATTTATTGTCTGCCTTCTCCACACTCCCCACTGGGTATGAAGCCTGTAACCCCGGCATGTGCCCTGATCAGGAATCAAACCACGACCTCCTGGTTCATAGGTTAATGCTCAACCACTGAGCAACACTGGCTGGGCAAGATTTTTTTTTAAGGTATTGACATTGAAATAGTGGAGTTTTCATAATTCAGTCCATTAATTCACTCAGATGACAACAAATTTTCTATATCTGTAGTAATAGCAAGAAATATGGTGTCTTTGGGATTCCCCTGCTGGTAGACTTGGAAAAGCGTTGTTAAAGTCACTCTACTAGAGCATATTTTTAATTGTTCCATATAGTTGAATCTGTTTACTAAGGTATAGTCACTGTGAAAGATGTTTTATAACTGTAACTAGCTGAATGGGATAAAATCAATTTGCGTTAGTATTGCTATCTCTCTCTTTCTGTTAAGACTTTTTTATTTAAAATTTACCAAACTAGGTAACTAGGGAACATGCATCAATTGTAGTTATTATATTTACCCACCTACTCTCAGAAGGATTTGGAAATTATTAGGGTTACTTCTAAGTTCAGCCTTCTCCATTTCCTGCCCAGATGATATCAGACAACTGCTTCATAGACCTGTGTCAGCTTTTCCATTCCCAGAACTGGGTGAATCGCTTGAGCCAGGGCACCTGCGCTGACAACTGACGTTACAAATGATGGATTTTCTGTTGAAAATGTTTCTAGCCTGAATACCACCCCACCCTCTATTGCACAAAATACAATTTAGTCCATATGGCTGGACAAGCCACACCAGAACTAGACTAGAACAAATATGCAAAGTTGTTCTTTATGACTTATTTTAGACTGCAATATGAGATAAGCTTAAAATATTACATAAAAAGTAGTTAGCAAATGACTATCTTTTAAATGTTATGATTGTTTTTATTGTTTTGACCTACAATGAGCTTTTATAAACATTCAATATCATTTTGTATTAATTTCAGGTGCACAGCATTGTGGGTATACTTTACAAAGTGTCCCCCCTGATATATCCAGTTCCCAACTGGCCACATACATAGTTATCACAATAGTATTGACTATAATTCCTTTAGTCATCCCCATGGCTGTTTCACAACTACTAGTCTGTACTTCTCAATCCCTCCACCTTTCCACCTGGTCCTCTAACACACACACACACACACACACACACACACACACACACACACACCCGTGGCAACCTGTTTCTCTGTCTCGGTTTTGTTTGTTCATTTATATGCAATGAACTTTTAATTTTAAGTCAGCTTGTAAATAATGGTGAGGTTATATAATTTTGAGAATGTTTGCAACAGAAATATGGATGGCCAAGAACAAATTAAATTATAGCTGCCTCCCCAAGGACAGCATCAGCCCAGCTCAGAACACTCTTAAAGTGGTTGATTAAAGTACCAAGGTCACACCGAAACCGGTTTGGCTCAGTGGTAGAGCTAGAGCGTCAATCTACGGACTGAAAGGTCCCATGTTCAATTCCGGTCAAGGGCATGTACCTGAGTTGCGGGCACATCCCCAGTAGGGGGTGTGCAAGAGGCAGCTGACATTTCTATCTCTCTATATCTCTCCCTTCCTCTCTGTGAAAAATCAATAAAAATATATATTTTTTTAAAAAGTGCCACGGTCAAATTTATATCAAATTATTTTGCAATATAAACAAGCATTAATGATGAAAATGTGTCTACATCCTAAATCACAAAAGCATTGGGGGGAAAACTGACCATATATTAATATGAAATTATTTATAAAACAATGAAGTATAATAATAATAAATGTTGTGTATTTCTTTCATGCAGTCAACTTATTTTTACTAATATAAAACAATATAGATAAAATTAAAAAATTCTATTTGTTCTGACCATCATTACATATTTAAAAATTTAATATCTGGTGAAGTTTCCAACTTAAATTATTTTTCTTCTTTTATTATATTAAGTACATAAAACAGAATAGATATGCAAATAACTACTTATTAAGACAAGTTATATGGCTATAGCAAAATATTGGGGTTGGACTTAAAATTCTACCCCGGTAAAACATTTACAATTTAAGGCAGGCTACTTAATATTCCTGTGCCATCCTTTCTGTATTCCTAAAAATAGGTGATAATAATACTACCCTCTAGGACTATTGGGAGAATTAAATGATAATATGTGTAAAATCCCTAGGAAAGTTTCAACTAACAGTAGGCCCTCAGCTAATGTTAATTTCTGCTTTCCCTCTCTAACATATAAGATGGATCCATTATTAGTCCCAAAACCAATTCCAGGAAGTAGGGACACTATCTATATAGAAAAAAAACTTACAGTTGCAAAAGAGACATATTCCAGAGCCCTGTTTTATTTTATAAATTTCACATGAGTCGTTAAAAATGAGCTTCTATGTAATCACCATCTTTATTGCCATGACCAGCACTGTCCACTAACACTCTCTGCAATGATGGAAATGTCTCATATCTCCACTGGGGTAACCACTAGGCACATGTGGCAACTCAGTGCTTGAAATATAGCTAGTGAACCCAAGGATCCAATTTTTAAAGTTCATTTTTACTTAAATTTAATTAGCTACCGGTGGCTAATGTCTGCCATATTGGACAATGTCTCCTCTCCCTCCTCCAGAAAATTTGAAGATGCCTCCCGGTCACCTTGATGGTGTGGCCAGTCCCTGCCTTTCCTCCCTTTTCCCATTTATCTTGAATTCATCTGTGAAAGCAGTCCTATTCCTCTCATCCCTATCTTTGCCCACTACTAGTAGTCATACGCTTGTTCCTTAGCTAATTGTTTCTTCTCTTGACTTCAAACTTCAAACACATTTCTTCCTGAAGAGGAAATCTTCAGCACAGAATAGTCTTTGATAAAATCTTATATGATGCCAATCAAAATGCCAGGCTCCAGGTACCATTTCTGTCTGTTAAATAGGAGACTTAAGATTACTAGAAAGTATTTTAAAAGAGACCAGGGTGAGGAAAGTTCACATGTTCTATTTTTCAAATCTGTATGTATTGAATAATTTGTTGAGAGGAAAAAAGAAACAGGAATGAGTGGAGAAGGGAGGAGAGGAAGTGAAGAGTAAGGAAGAAAGGAAGAAAGGGGGGGAAGGAGAGAGGGAGGAAAAGAAAAAGGAAAAAAGATCTAGAAGAAGGAAGGAAGAAAATGAAAAGGAGCAAAAGAGAGGAAGGAAATTGACCAGTGTTCAATTAATATTTGTAATTTTCACTGATATTGCCCAGAAGTATCATAAATGATATGCTAAATATTGAACACATAACCTAGAAATATCAGTTCTGAGAAAAGTTATTATAGTGAATTTGACTAATATGTAGACTTAAATGCATAACATGAAAATTTATAACAGTAGTGATGAAAATAATCACATTAAAATGTTGATGATGATAAAATAAATGTTTAATCTTTGGCTGCTTTATTAGTCCAAGATAACATTAAAAAGGCTTTGGTTGGAACCCCACATTTTCTACTATTCAATCATATGCTGTATTCTTGTTTTAAAAATATGTATTTGGAAACCTTTAAATATTTATAAATACTATACATTAACAATTTTCAACATAAACTTAATTTAGCTTGACAGGGAACCTGCTTCTAAGAAGTTAAAAGGGTTGAATAAATCATATACATTTGCCTTCTGTTATAGCCTTCTGTTATTCTTTGTTAGATGTGCTCCCACAGCTCCAGAGCCCATGTTGGAAAACAAGTTGACCTACTGGGCTTGACCTCCACATTCAATTACTCATATTCTCTCTGTTGAAGAGAAATAGGCATTTCTCTTCAACAGAGAGAATATGAAGGAAAAAAAAGTTGAAGGAAATAGGCATTTTCAATTCTGAGTGGTGTAGGGTGTCTGTAGAAACTTCGAATAATCAGTGGATACTGAAAAAGAATGAGAGTTTTCCCATTCCCTTTGCTAAGAAGAAGAATATATAGAAAGCCAAAAGCAGTGTTTTACTCTTTCTAAAAGCAATAAATTCTAATATTAAACATTCTATGAGCCATATTCCAAATAGAAATCACAAAGGATATAAAAGTTAATTAAATATAGCTCTTGCACTCAAGGGGCTCACTGAAATCCATTGAGGGAAGGCAGAAATTTAAGTATCTGAAATATAAGAAGGTAAATACTAAAATAGGAGAGAGCTTGCACAAAGACAGGAATGCCTGACTCTATCTGGGAATTCCAGGGAAGGCTTCAGAAATAATGCATTTCTTGAACTGAGCCCTGGAAAATGAGGAGGCATTTACCATTATCACAGAGAGTTCTGTTGGGTAATGCTGCTCTAGGCTGTCTGAATTATCAATAAGGATTCATAATAAATTGAGGTCAGTGGATAAATAAATGTGTATGTAATAGCTCCTTGGAAATTCACAAGGTACGGTAGCATAATGAAGACCATGAAAAGCCCTGCAATCAAAGGGGTGTGGTTCTACTTTGTTTAAGTCAGTGTTTCCTATATTTATTTGATTACTGAAACTTCTTTTTTAAAGATTATCTCATTTATAAATTATATGACCTAATTCTACAGGGGGGGAAATGATTTACAGATAACAGTTTGGGAAATAGTGGCAATTAGGATCCCTTGAAGCAGAGATGATGTGATCAGACCGCCTTGGCAGCAATAAGATTGAAAGCAATAAGATCAGATGGCATGCTCACGTCCTAGTCTAAGAAGACAGCCATGGGAAGAGAGAAGAAATATAGGCCCCAGGGCATGTCAGGAGATAGAACAGAGAGAATATGAGTAATTGAATGTGGAGGTCAAGCCCAGTAGGTCAACTTGTTTTCCAACATGGGCTCTGGAGCTGTGGGAGCACATCTAACAAAGAATAACAGAAGGCTAACAGGAATACATGAGACATGTGGAATTTCACAGGCTTGTGGTATATCCAGGAAAAATAAAGAGAAAAGCATGGCCTATAACTGCAGAGAGTAGTCTAGTCTGAGATATAGCTAATAGTGAAAGTTATGGGAATGAATCAATTACCTAACAATTACCTAGGAAAGCAGTGTCAAATGATCTTAGAGGAGGGCCACATTGAGTCTTAGAATTAGGGGAGGGGGCAGATGAAATAAGCAGGAGATTGAAAACAGACTTTCAACGCATTAGTAGGAAAATCAGAATGTTGTGACCCAAAACCCAAGGGAAGAGAGAACTTTAAAAAAGATATATGGTCAATGTTTTTTGAATGCCACAGAGAGGACATGAAAAAAAAAAAACCCACTCACATGAAGCTCATTTGGTTTAGTAACAAAATGGTCAAGGTGGCATACCTAACATTACCATTATCAGATAGATTGGAGTGTACAAGAGACTTGAATGGTAGATGAGGAGGTAGAAACAGTGGGTATAAAAAGCTCTCAGAATTTGCCTGTCTGAAGAACAATAGAACAACTGCTAGAGAGGAAGGCATAAAACTAGCTTTAGGAAATGGAAGGGGCAATTTAAATCCATACCATAGACATTTATTGAGTGTCTACTACATATTTAAGCACTGTGCTAGACACTGAGTCTTAAAGAGACAGTAAAAATTCTCCATTCTTGCCTGCAAGAAGTATAGCATGTATCACGTTAATGAAATCATAAAGGCATGATTTGATCTTAATACATTTATGTAAATGTTGGTAAAAATAACTACCATATTTTCCATAGCACCATGGTTCATAAAGAATTAGCTCATTTACAAATTATATGATCTAATTCTACATGTTATGGAAGAAATTGTTTACAGATAGCAGTTTGGGAAATACTTAGGATTTTTCAACTTCTTGATGGGAAGTGGTGTTAGAATTTAAGACACTATAATAATCTCTTCAATATCAGATATTTGTGCTGTTGGTGAACAAACACATGGTAACTGAGGACAGCATCTTCCATGTTGTGAGAGGGATTTGAGTCAGACCAAATGTTTGTCATTGGGCAAGACAAAAGAGAGACAAGAGTAGGAAGAGTGGGTGCAAATTCCAAGCCCAAAGAACAAGCAAAGGAGCACAAATGAGAAATGGGGTCAAGAATCATGAACCCATAAATAAATGACATGAAGAATAAACTCACCATCTCAGGCTTGTGAGTGAGATTTATGTCAGGAACAGGCATCAAATGGGCCCAAATATCCCTCAAGAAACACAGATGCATCAAAACACAGACATATAGACACTCAGATACAACAACAAACACCGGCACAAGTTCAGCCAGTCAATATGTAAGTTACCAGGTGTACTATGTACTGGTTGTTGGTGTTCTAAGAAACTTTAAAAAGAGTAATGTGTTTAATGTAGATACATTAAACATATCGGTTTAACATACTATTTCTTGCTTTCTTCATTAGATCCCCTCAGCAGAGTGTGTTTAAGACCAAAAAATGTAACTGATGCACTGAGCACCTACATTAATGCTAATTATATTAGGGTAAGTAAATAAATATCGTTTCTTTCTGATGAGCGTGTCAACTTACTCTTTGGACTTTAAGATTACTTTTTTCCCCTTAGAATAGGTTACTTTTTACTTAATTTGGTTAGAACAAGTTCTTTGTTGTTGTTTGCTTAGTCAGAATCAACATTGGGCCCTAACCTATTTGGCTCAGTGGACAGAGCATCGACCTGTGGACTGAAAGGTCCCAGGTTCGATTCCGGTCAAGGGCATGTACCTTGATTGTGAGCGTATCCCCAGCAGGGGGTGTGCAGGAGGCAGCTGATCAATGTTTCTCTCTCATCAATGTTTCTAATTCTCTATCCTTCTCCCTTCCTCTCTGTAAAAAATCAATAAAATACATTTTTTTTTAAAATAATCAACATTGGTAGTGAGTATTTTACAGTGAGTCCTCCTTTCCTGTGTGTGTGTGGCTGGGAAGCTCTGGTGAGGACGAAGCATTCTGACTGGCAGCACCGTGCGCCATGCTTAGCTTACTGGGAGAACAGCCATGTGGGTTGTGCTGCTGGAATCAATTAAGCCACAGAAGCCTGTGTTGCTTTTGGAAGAGCAGAGCCATTTTGTTCTGAGATATTTTACCTAGATTTTCAGTGCCTGGCATGAACTTCAAAGCCAATCTTTTGTATCTTTACTCACATTAGGGCTACAATGGCAGAGAGAAAGCGTTCATCGCCACGCAGGGCCCCATGATCAACACCGTGAATGACTTCTGGCAGATGGTTTGGCAGGAAGATAGTCCTGTGATTGTTATGATCACAAAACTCAAAGAAAAAAATGAGGTATGACCTTTGCCCAAGTACTAAATGTTATATATTTTTTTGTTGCTATAAGAGACATATTGTGTAAGAAAAATTGTTGTGTACTTAATAATGGATTTAAGATGGAAACTTTTAAGGTATTTAAATGATAGGTCACTTTATGCTTCCCAGAAAAGTCAATACATATTTCTCCTAGGTATCCACATGTCACAGTAAGAAAATGATAGACCAGGAATTATCACTGATTATGCCTATTTATAGGCAATGAAGTAAAAAATTATTCGTTTGTATAGCAAGTAATTTCTGTAGCTACTATGTGGCAAATACTTTTTTAGTTGTTGGCAATGTATTGGTAAGTAAAACACAGAAAGGTTTATGTTCTTGGTAGATTTTAACTCTCTTGGAGTTGGCAGAGAAGACCGACAAAAACAATAAACATAATACGGTATGTTTATAAAAATATTAGAAGGGCCTGGCCAGTGTGGCTAAGTGGATAGAGCTTCATCCTACAGACTGAAGGATGCCAGGTTTGATTCTGGTCAAGGGAACATGTCTACATTGCAGACTCAATCTCTAGTGTGGGGCATGCAAGAGACAGCTAATCAATGATTCTCTTTCATCATTGATGTTTCTATCTCTCTAACCCTTCCTCTTCCTCTCTGAAATCAATAAAAATATATTGTGGGGGGGAAGATTTTGATGACAACCCAGCTGGCATGGCTCAGTGGTTGAGCTTATGAACCAGGAGGGCATGGTTCCATTCCTGATCAAGACACATGCTCAGGCCCCTAACTGATTTGGCTCAGTGAATAGAGAATCAGCCTGCAGACTAAAGAGCCCCAAGTTTGATTCTGGTCTAGGGCATGTACCTTGGTTACGGGCACATTTCCAGTGGGAGATGTGCAGGAGGCTGCTGGTCATTGTTTCTCTCCATGTTTTTAACTCTCTATCCCTCTCCCTTCCTCTCTGTAAAAAATCAATAATATATATATATATATATTTTTTTTTTTTTTTTTCAAAGACACATGCTCAGGTTATAGGCTCAATCCTCAGTGTGGGGTGTGCAGGAGGCAGCCAATTGATCCTCTCTCATCACTAATATTTCTATCTCTCTCCCCTCCATTCCTCTCTGAAATCAATATATACATTAGAAGGAATAAATACTACAGAAAAAAGTAGCATGAGTGTGCTGGGATGTAGGGAGGGGCTGGGAAGGAAGTGTAAGCTGCAGTGTTGTATAGTGGATGAGCCTCACTAAGAAAGTGAGATTTGAGAAAAGATTTGAAGGAAGTTATAAAACCCGAGCAACTTACTCAATGTCTTTATAATAAGAAGCCCAAAATTAGATTCTATTTCCATGCTAGTCATCTTTTCTGAGGATCTAACTTATGGACAAGAATACTCATTCTGTACTTTGCATCATAAATATAAAATTGTGTCTCTCTTATCTCCCCACCCCCATTTTGGAGGTATGTCACATAGATAATAGGGTGGTGAAGACCTGAAGGTGGGGGTACAGGTTGAGAAGGGGAGAAACGGGAGACATCTGTAATACTATCAACAATCTATAATAATAAAAGTGTAATATGCTAATTAGAACGGATGTCCTTCTGGGATGAAGCCAGGGCTGCAGCAACTATGGCTGCGAGGGAGGCATCCAGGCAGCCGCAACTGCAAAGGCCTACATTTGCATGAATTTTGTGTGTGGTGCATCTAGTAATAATAATAAAGTAAAATTGTTCAATTCCCAAAGGGTCCTGGCCTGGGCACTGCTTACATTTCAGGGCATCTTGTCATCCCGTTGACATAGTTCGTAGTCTGGTTTTAGTCAGCTTTTGTGTTTGTTTTCTTCCCCAGGATAAGAAGAATTTAAGAAAACTGAATTATACCCCTTTAATAAGTGGCAACCCTGAGTATAATATAATCCAACTGCTAATCAAGAAAGTCTAGGCTCACAACAGCAATTTATAAGTTTTTTAAAGTTTATTGTTTTCTTCCATTTTTCTTGCTGCAATAGATGAAGGATTTTTTTTTTTTCTGAAATTTATTTTGGAAAAAATATATATTTGACCAGTAGATGAAGGTATATACTTAATTAACTATGTGGTTTACCAAATAAATGCATTTCTAAGAATTTTATATGAAAGCCTGAGGTGGCATAATAAAAGTGACCCATCACATTTTCAGCAGTTTCACCCACTCTCAACCAATCAAGCATACTAAGCCACTGACAACTCCTGCACAGTTGTTTAATATTCATGACATTTTTGCCTTCATGGTAGAAAAATATTCTTCAAAGTTAAAAATGTATATACATTCATGGGACTTAGATAATATGGCAGACAAGATAACCTGAAAAACCTCCTGTTACAAAACCAGTGATACTGGGTAAAATATGAAATAACAGGTACAACAGAGCTTGAAAAATAATGTGAAGGAAATCCCAGCAATTAGAAACAGAATAAAAGGCATGGAGATCAAGCCTGTGGCCCCCAGAAGCCAGGAGTTAGAACGGAGACCTTCCATAAGGGGAGCACCTGCCAGGGCAGGGCCTGTAGTGGAAAGGGGATCCAGGACAATAAAGCCGCCTACCAAAATAGGACTATAGCAGGAAATCCATCTATCTTAGTCCAGGCTTCTCTTGGGATAAATAAAAAGGTTCTCTTGAGTATTCAGAATTCAAAGCCAGGAAATGCCAAGTGGAGTAATTTATATAAAAAGTAATGCTGGCTTGGTAAGGCTCTATGGCACTTCACAGAAACAAAGGCAAAACCTTTTTGGATGCATACCCTTTCAACATCTAGTTCACAGAATTTCCACAGAAAAATCCCAACCAAACAAACTCACAAGTCAGCATTGTGAGACATACAAGTAAACAATATAAGGAAAATCAGAAGAAGCAACAAGTTATAGAAATAGACCTATAAAAGATTGAATAGAGGCTATATACTATAAGCTATATTTTTGTAATTAAGCACACAAATTATAAAATAATAAACTCATATGAAAAGAGTAACTTACAATTTAAAAAGACTAGGGAGAATTTTAAACCAAGGAGTCTTAGACATAATTACTATATAGACACTATTATGAAAAAGAAAAATCTTCTTTAGGCAGGTTTAATAGTAGGATAGACACAGCTAAACAATTACAGGATTTAAAGAGAGAGAGAGAGAGAGAGAGAGAGAGAGAGAGAGAGAGAGAGAGAGAGAGAGAGAGCGCTAAGAAAATTATCTAGAAACTTGAAATGACCAAAAAAATGAAAGAGAGTTTATTATACAGAGAGGGTAATATTTAAATGGCCAACATATGTCTTATAGAGAAGAAATGGGAGAATATAAAACACGAAGTAATATTGAAGAAACAATGGTCATGGATTTTCTAAAACTGATGAAAGACATGAGCTCTCACGTTTGAAAAGCACAATAACCCTAGGTTGGATATCTCAAAATAAATCTGCAACTAGACACCTGAATGAAGATAATATTCACAACCAGAGTAATGGAAAAATGGCTTCTCAATAGCAACAATAGAAACCAAAAATCAATTGAATGACCCCTACAGAAGTATGAAAAGCAAACAACTGACAATATGGCACTTGTAGCAACATTTCCTAGATCTGAGTAGAATGCATTATCCCTGTCCACTTTGTTTTGAATTGTAAGTTTCTCAATACTTTGTTTGCTAAAAGTACATCCATACCCTTACTAATTCTATATCCTCTTCTATTAAAAACAAAATCATTTAGTATGAACACTGGAAAAAGCACTGAGCATTTCAATCCTCAAATCTTATGATGTATTTCTTCACTTGCATAGAAAGGGTAAGCACTGTGTCTTTAGTGCTTTAACTTCTTGAACCAGGGTTTCTTTCATCAGGATAGGAGCAGCTCAGATTGTTTGTTAATCAGAAAGCATTCCCTTGAGGCTAACATGTGACATATTTTAAAGGTGTCCAGTAATGGTGGGACTTGGAGAATATGCCAAAGCTCCAATTCTTCTCCTTTGTCCCCAAGACCAAGGTTGGCATTCTAACGGAAGTGCTGCAGGAGATTAATTTGCATTTCAATGTGATGCTGAGTTGGTTCTTAGTGATGCTCAGGACTTTCCATTCTGCATCTCGAAAGGAAGAGAACACCTCTTGTTCTTTATTTTTCAACCTAAACACAGTTAGAGGTACCCCTTGGTACCACTCTTGGAATTCACATTCTTCATTGGGAAAGCCAAGTGGATCTGTTGAAAACTAGATTTTAAAAAAATAATAGTAATGATTACACTAAAGGGTGATTGAGGTCTTTGTTTTTCTCTTGGACTAAATTTAGAAATTGGAAAGGTATTATTATTTTCTTACAATTTTTAGCCTCTTCTCTTTTTAAATGTCGGGGATATGTCTTCTGGAAATATCAAAGTTAAGTATATCATGTTTTCTAGGTGGGATTTTCTGTGTGTATTGTCCTGCGGCTAGTCATAATCCCAAATATTGCAGTAAAAATTCTTTTTCATTGTTGATTATTCATTAAATTAAAATGAAATTCCTTTCCATCCAGACTCTCTGAAGATGTAAATACATTACGATAGAGGAAACTCTTGATGTTTTGCAGATCAAAATGATACTGTGAAGTCTGGCACAGAAGGAAAATGCAGCAGACTTTACACTCCCGGGAAAGCGCTGTTTACCAAAAATGTGCCAACTTTCAATTGTGTTGAGCGTCATTGTTTAGAATAGACAAAAATCATTTCCTCCCAAAAAAATGAAGGTGGAATTATCTTTAGAAATTCCCAGGCTTTCCATTTTCATGAACCTTTATACTTTTTAAATAAATAAATGAAGAATTTCCAGCTCTTATTTAATAATACCAATATTCTTATAGTTTTTTAATAAAACGAATATAAACAAAACCTTCCAAAATGAAGCTGAAAAATCAGTTCTATGGCATGAAAGAGAAGAGAGTGTATGGCTAATAAATTTTAGTTCCTTCCTTTAGATAAATTGCAAGAAGAAAGGAATTCCTTCTGCAAGAA